CTCACCTGCAGCTCAGCTAGGCAGAGCTCTTTCTTGCCTCCCTGTGAAGCCTGCTGAAATGGAAGCTCACTACATGATCCAGCTGTTGAGCATCTGTGCTCACCAACAACTCATGTAATCATCATTTGTTCTCTACAAACCACGACAGAAAAAGGGCTCGGAAAAGGCTGACGACACCAGCTGCCTGCAGCCCTTATGGAGAGCCAGCAGCACAGCTCCCTGCAGCAGGCACTGGAATGGGATTGTGTCATTGGAAAAGGATGAACCTGAACATCTCCTCACTGCCAGGGAGGAAACTTGTGCATAATTAAAGATTTTGATAGGAAAATATTAGAGGAACTTGGAAAGCTGCACAGTCAGAAGGACACAGCAAAGTCCAGTCCACGCTTCCCGTGAAGGTCACTACTCTGGGCTTTCTTAAGTCCTGAAGCTCCATTTAGAGGACACAACAATTTCACTACATGTAACCAAAGGAAAGCAAGAAGTTCCCAAACTGTAGTGCCTTTAAAAATTACCATTCTGTTTTGAAAATAATTATCTTCATTTCACAGTCAATTGGCACACAAAAATTCCCTTGCAGCTTTAGGGTGCAAACACTCAGAAGATGTGTGGGAGTATTTCCTTAGAAATAAATTCCTGAATCATAACTACTGTGCTTGAACTAACACAGGAATAAAACCACCAATAAATTCTTCAGAATACACCCTCCAAATGACAGAGTTGTCCATTACATGAAGAGGCAAACCCAGCAACATTTTACTAGCTTCACAGCTCTTCTAGTGAGGATAACTGTCTTCACTGGTGAGAACATTTTCAATACCACCCCATCCTGGAGTCCAGGCACTCAGGACATGTAATCCGGTAAAAAGTTTATCCAGCAATGTTAAAGGAACAGCAGCCTAAGGAAAATAAAGATGCTAAGGGCACAAGACTACTTCATAAGCATCTCTGACATTAAGACTGGCAAACAGCAATATGGTTCTTGAGAAAAACCTACAATGTTCAGGAGAACAGGTTAAAATAAAAGGCAGACTTGTTATTTTGGCAAGCCTGTGGAGGAAATTCTTCTTGGCTCAGTTATGAAGAAAGTTATTATTTATAAAAGCCCATCCTTCGGTTTACTTTGGAGAACTGCTGTTCCAAGTTAATGTGGCTTGGTGAGGAAAACATATATAGGAACGTTTCACAGAAGGAATGACAGACTGACATCCTGAACAACCCAAACAGGATGAGAAAGAAAAAAACCTAATGTGTGTTATGCTAAACAGAGAACCCAAATTAAAACATTGAAACGAGCATGGAAAGATGGTCCTGATCAAGCTTTGTGCTTGACTGACACCACCCCAAAGAAACTGAGAGCTTAATCACAATCTGGCATCTTCACTTAGTTTGGATTCTTTTGCAAATCACATCGATCACTTGTTCTTAGGGGAAGAAGATCCTCTCCATAGCATCTTTTGCTTCCATGGCTATTTCCATGATGTTAGATTACCATTAAAAAGAACACTTCAGACATTCTTTTATTTTAATCTGTCATGTGATCAAATTCAAACCCTCACAGCAGCATCCAATCAGCATCTGGAAATTAATCAATTGATTCAGAAAGAATTTTCTTACCCTTTCAATTAAAAAAACCCTGTGCCTATTTGAGGTCCCATTACATATTTAAGCACCATCTACTTAAGCATTTGGGACACTTCAACTCATCCCTCTATTGATAAGAACCTCTGTTTCCCACTGAAAGAAGCACCATGAAACGTGTAAACAAGTTATTGTTTCTAAAGTGAAGTTTCAGTGACAACACAGTTTCTTTGCAACACAACAGAAATTAAGTAATCCTGTGTAGGAGCAGGAAAGCATTTTTAATCTGTGAAGTGTGTATGCATCTATGTATCTCCTTCAAATAAGCACTAAATTAAACAGGTGATGCAATGGTTTCTTGCAAGATCCACTTTCCACCACTGCTTGCATCTTGCTGAAATGCAATGAATGGTTTCAGGAGGAAGATACTAGCACTGAACTTCTAAGATGGGCTCTCCTCTCCTAACTCAGCTTTTAAATTGCCAGAAGGTCTGTCAGTCCTCCAGGATACAGACATTTTTTAATGGTACCTAAACTATCCCACAGCAAGGGCTTCCAGGCTGAACAAGCAGCCTCTTAAAATAACTGAATAGATGAGGCAAGTGAATGTGCCTCAAAGAACAAAGAGTTCTATGTGACTTTTTTCCTCTTAGGTACTTCTGAAAGAACCTTCAACACCCATTTCCTCAGTACAGGAGCACCTTTTCATCTCAACCATGAACAATACAGATAGGGTCACTTCTAAACAAATGAAGTAACAAGAGCCCTGGACTATGAAGTCTGTTCTAAAGAATGAAGCCTGACACTGCTAAATCAAAGCCAACTTCAAGCTGAAATGTAAATACATCCTAAATATTTATGACAAGTGCAGACACCTGCTGTTATCTTTTTTCACACAATTTTTTCATGTGTAGGGACTAAGTCTGCAACACCCCTTGACTACTTCTGAGTTCCAGCAGGAAAGTGAGGAACCTGGGGTACCAAGAACCAACCTAAGCAGAACTCTGGAGCTTGCCAACTTGGAGATGGAGCAGTTTTCAAGAGGGCTGCTTCCACCTGCTGGAGATGCAAAATATTAATGTTAGCCCAGAAGACCCCACTGCTTGCAGGGACCATGACCATGACGGTTTGGGATAGCAGGGATGCTTTCACTTCACACTGAAAGAGAAGCAACCTCACCCGAGCAACTGACTCTGATTTCACTCAAACCACACACCCATGGACACAAGCACCTGTGGCCTGCTGCTGACTATACGTCCAAGTGTTAACTGAAACTGAACACACACATCTCAAATCCTCTCAACTCACCAAAAAGTCCTCCAAAACACAAGAAGAGCCAGCCTAAAACACAGGCAGATCCTCTGCGGTGTGCTTCCCCACAGCCTGCAGAGACACATCCACCTCATGAGCTCAGACCCACAGCACAGAGAAGTGTCCCTTTCCAGCAGGGCAGAAAGGAGAACTTCATCTCTGCTCACCTCTCCAGATGGCCAACATGGGGAAACTGTGAGCAGCTCGGTCTCCACACATCCCCTGTGCTCAGCACAGCTATTCCACTGCACACAGGTGGCTCTCAGAGCAGTCACCACCTGGGCTGGCCACCCCCAACACCCGCAGCCCCTCTGACAAGCCTCTCCTTTTGGACAGGTTTGCTACTCCGTTTTTCCTTTTGCTTTACCAGCACTGGTAGAACATTGAAACTGCTCCCCTAACCACTGCCACTCCGCTTCCCCTTTCCCATCATTACAAACATCTCTTTTAGTGGAAACTGCTTTTAAGACAAGATTTGGAACAAATAATGTGATTGTGCCTGCTGCTGCGCTGCCTCAGCACTGCGCTGAGTCAACACCCAAAGCCATCTTCCTCTCATCTGCAAACAGCTGGAAGGCAAAAGACCACTTCCATTTAATTCCCTAACAATTAGGAATTAAATAATCTAAACTTCATTCAGCTTCCAGGGATACAATCTCGTGTATTTTGCACATGATTTCAGGCATTTAAAGACATCCAATCCATAACCAGTCTGCTAAGGTGACCAGAGCTGCAGTTGTGTCTCTCTGCTGTCACCCCAACGTCCTTCCTCTACCTCTCCAAACCCCCCACACCTCACAGACAGTACAAGAGGCTGATTTTTTGGTTGTTTTTTTTTGCATGTGAATAGCATACCAGGCAAGCCATGCAGAGTCTTCATTCAAAACAATCCTAAAATACAGGCCTTATAAAACCAGGATTGATCATAAATCACTGTTATCTTGTGTTATCTTGCATTTTTCTTCTAACTGACATTGTTTAGATTTTATCATCAGCCAATTAGAATAATGACATGCAAGCTGCTGCAGCAGATAACTGAAGAACATAATAAATCTACAGACATTTGTAGAGAATTACCCACTCAATGAAAACCACATTTAAACTTCAGCATGCAAGCAACTTAAACATCCTTTTTCAGCCCATAAAGACTCTTCAAGCTTTCAGTACTATTTATATTGCTTTTTTTTCTTCTGAATTTGGCAACATAAGGGTATATAATCTCACACACCCCTTCCCCTGGATGCCTTTCATTCTGGTATGCCATGAAACACAGAGTAACTCACAGCACAGACCATGTTCTTCAAGTCAGCTTGAGGGAGTTTAATACCACACACCTTTCAAGTCCTTAGGAAAAAAAACACCCAAACTCCTGTATCAGTAGCATTCCTGGATCTATTAATTGTCAGTGACTAATGAATCAAACAGGACAGTTACCTTGAGAGAAAAATAGCTACTGAGTATCAAAAGAAGTCAAGAAAATATTTTTCTCCCTGCCTACACATCTTAAAAGCAGCTTCTCATCTTGGACTACAAGCAGTCACACATCCAAAGACATTTTAAGCCTCAGTAGTACCTCACAAAACCACATCATTTTTAAGAGTTCCCAAACACTTACCTTGCCATTATAGCAGCAACAACCTCTGGTGGTTTTCTTATACATGGGAAAGTGACACCTGAATATCAGGAAATCCTGCAGATAGCATTGTCAGGACTGAATTACACCTGTGTGTGGTGTAATTACATCATCAATATACTGTGCAAGGAAAATTCCTCAACCTTGACACTGGCTTGCACACCTGCTAAAATAAATTCCAACCTTTTCTCTCATTAATTCCACCAATTATAATGGTGTTTTGGGGGTGATTTAGGCCTTCCAATGTTCAAGGCCAAAACAAAACTACCAGCTTCTTTCACAGGAGAACCAGCCTGCATTGCTGTGACACTGAGGACCTGTGCTTGGTTTTCAAATCATTGGCAACACAAGTTTCTACATTTTTCAGCTGCAGGCAAGCTAATATATTTCAGAGACTGATATGATCACACTGTGAACAGATTTAATTAACTCAGCGTTTTTCGTTTTACCCAGGAAAAGGGGAAGAATGACTTACTTGGGTCTCGACTGCTGTATGGCCACCCCGAGGCGGGTAAAAAAGATGGCATAGGGGAGCTTGCCCTGCTGTCATCCTCCACTTGCTGCGTGATGTGCCGCACGGTTTCCTTGTTTTTCCGGTTCTTCCTGCGGCCCGTGGGCTGCCAGCCATCCCCAACCCCCTGCTCTGGGAACGGGTTCTGTATTGCACTATCCTTGGCTGAATGGAGTTCGCTCCCTCCATAATGTGAGGGTGAAACCTGTTCCTCCTTGATACGTAAAGACCCATAACCTACGTCATTAGACCAAAGAGACTGGGATGAAACGTCTTCGTGGCTGTCTGTTTTTGGCTCTTGATCCTCTTTTCCATAGGTGCTCCCTCCCTCGTGGCAGCTGGCGATGGCTGAATCCCCAGAGGAGTTGGCTGGGCTTGTCCGCCGAGCTAACCAGGGGGATATACTCCTGCCCGCCACGACGGCGGAAATCAACGCATCCGTGCTGCTGCTGGAAGGGGCTCCCAGCTCATAATCCACCAGGTCATCCGAGGCATCAGACTTTATGCTGATGTCGAGAGCTGCCTTTATGAAGTTGTGGCAGGCTTGTACAATGTCTGTCATCTGCAGGTAGCTGGCAGCTGACATCACCTCGATGACGTTCCTGCTGGTCAGAGCCAGGTGTGCCGAGTACATGAAGTCAATGATTGCTTTGAAGCCTTGTGCAGTGACAATGTCCAGGTGGGTGACTGTGGCCTGGTCAGAGGTTTTCTGCACCTGGCAGTACAGGGTTTTGAAGTAGCGACTGCTCCCAAGCAGGACGTTTTTGTGAGCCTTGAAGATCTTCCCCTCCACGATGATGCAGACGTCGCAGAGGATGCCATGCTGCCGCTGCTCGTTCAGCTCCCGCAGCAGGTGACGGTAGTGGGAAGCAATCTCCATATCTTCCTTTCGGTTATTCATTTGGAAATCTTTGTGTTTCCTCTTCCACAAGTCCTGTGTGGGGAAGGAAATGGCAGTATTACAAAATCCAGCGCAAGCTCGCAGACATGTTTTTCAAAGACTGAGACAAACCCTGAGTTGTACCAAATTAAGTAACAGGTTCATCCTGAAAGAATGCCATGAAATGCAACTTCCTCCTGCTGAGACTGCACATCCACGACACCACACAGCTCATTTTCTACCAGATGTCAAATAATTTATATTAAAAGGGACTAAATTTGAAGCTGAGTTCTCCAGTGGCTCGTAACATCCCAGAGAAACATTTCTTTAAATTCCTAGACGTGTAAGGAAACCTGTCTTAAGTTACATGGGTAGAACAGCTGCCAGTTCGGGCAGTTTGGGCTCAGTGAGGTTTGGTTTTGAAAGAGGTACTACACTTGAAACCATGCTGATGGAGACAGTATCTTGAAGAGCAAGCACTCTGTAGCACAGTTTCCTCCAGAGAACAGGCTTTATGTGTAGCACACTGAATAGCTGAAATCTTCCAACAGCAAAAGCCAACTGGAAGCAACTCCTTCCCTTGCTGTACTGCTGTTAAGGGGCTATAAATACTGTTTTCAAGTCAGAAGAGCAGTAGCCAAATCCAAGACCACAGATCACAAAATTTTAAGTCCCCACCCAAACTAAGCTGGCAACAGATCAGAACTATGAAATAAGCATTATTTGCAGCTTAACTGCTTCTAAGCACAAGATAACTAACTAAAATAACTATGCAATAAAGCATGTTATTTCCTTGGCTTTATACCTCCAAGCTTACCCCACAGCAACCCTAAGATACTGGGCAGAGAAATTCCAATAATCACCTAAACATTCATGTTTAGAAAGGATACTTATGGACAAACTGACAAAGCATCCATCAGGCTGAGAAGAATTCACAGGACTTTTCATCACCTTTCATAAAATGTGACAGTTTTATCCAAAAACAAGGCTAGCATGGCAGAGACCCGTATCCCTCCTCTTACACCCCAAAAGAGACAAAAAAGGTCTTAAATGTAGAGATGTTGACAGTAATCAGTGGCACTAATATTTTCAGATTTAATTTTATCCTGGCCACAAACTACATCACCAGAGATGCGCACACATTCCTCACAGCATTAACTCTCCCCTATCATGTAGTTTAGTCACTTGCCCATTTTGCATCATCAGAACCTTCCTGCCCTTCAGCTCCCAGGGGAACACTTCCCTGGTATCAGATGGACCAACACGTTCTGCCTCTCAAGTGAGATGCCCTCAAGTCTTCATCTGTGCAAGTGCTCATGGTGGACACTGGCAGCACCAGAATGGCCCAATGAAGTCCCTCTGTGTCACCAGACCTTGGACTTTGCAAGTCCATACTCACGCTTGCTGCCTCAGCTTTACAACTTCCCTGGCATTAATTTCTGTCACTTTATCTAGCTTACTCCACTTATTTGGAAGACAATATCAAGATCTATATATTGTGTAACAGTGGTTTAAAGGTCCAACTAATTAAGAGCAACAAGCTGCCATGGGATGGAAAGGATATCTACTCCCCTCTCTCAAAAAACATAAATTTGTTCCAACATAAGAAGCTCCAACAGTCAAATTGATACGGAGTCCCAACTCACAACCATAATACTGGTATCTGCTGACAAGACCAAATCCCAAATGTGATTATGGGTGGGATTCAGGCTGTTTTTGGCTGCTGATAAAACCCAAGTCACTGCAGCGTTGAGGTCTTGATGCATACATGGCTAAATAGCAGCATTGTCAGTAAGGAGGCTGCTGAAAGCTTGAAGCAACTTTCTAACATACATCAAGTTCAAGTTCAGTCCCATCTCTTCAGCTCGATTCAGTTGGGCAGTCCGAGGACAGCAATGACCAAGAAGGTTTCCTAACACATGCAGGCAAGTTTCTCATTCTGTAGGACACAAATCCATGAGACATCTTCCCCCTTCCCTAATCTGTGCTATTACTATAATGTACAGAAGCAAAACAGCTACAGTTTAACCAACACCATTGGTCAGAAAACAACCTCTCAGCCCACAGGGCATACATGACATAGGATCTCTTCTGAAGAGCCACCTGATGATTCAAAAGTTCAAGTTATGTAAGATTGCCTGCAGGAGTTCCTCCAGTTCTGCAAGAGTGGAGCTTTCTCTCTGGCAGTGTCAGAAATACTAATTTGCAAGACCAGCTGGTCCCTGATCATTAAGAAGAATTTGCTTCCCTCAAGAGAGGAAGGACCATCTTCTGCAACACAAACAGGCTGATCCGGTGTTTATCTGTTTCAAATTAATACAGCTTTTCCACAGAGTTAAGCACAGAAGGTAATCTATTTTTTATTTGAACTGGAAGAGGTCAGTAACAGTGTAGCTCTACACTGAGTGGCACTATCCATTAACCACAGAAATCTTCCAGAAGACCTCAAATCAAATTCTCACACAGAAGCCATCTCCAATAAATAAATGAAATAAAGAAATCAAACCATAAATCAGATCCAGGGAGTAGAGGGGAAAAAAACCAAAACAAAACAGATTTTTCAGATGTTTGGCCTGAAAAGGTTGAGATGGAAGCAGCCAGCACAGCAGCTCTCTGACCCAGGCTCTGACAGTGGCTGCCACCACTTCCCAACATCTTCATGTTTGAGAGAACCACCTCTTCAGGCAGAATGACAGTTCAGTTTTGTCTTTATTCCAGAAACCACTACTGCATCTACTTTTAGGAGTTGAAGAGTCAGCTCAGTCCCCTCAGGAAATATGAATTGCCACATTGGATAAAGTGAGTTGTCCATCACCCATCCTGTCTTTAGCAGCTGTCACAGCCACATGACTCAGAGGGCGACGCAGGAAAACCTCACAGTGTACAATTAGGAAGCGACTGGAAGGTTTCAGAGATGGCATCTCCTTTTGCTGCTCCTTCACAGCTCTCAATCTATATTCTAGGGCAGCATCTCCCTGGAAGTTGGGGAGAAAAAAATGAAGAAAAAAAAAGTCTCCTCCAAGCATGATTTTCTCTTCCTCAATTTAATACAGATTAGTGTGAGGAGTATTTGCCCATATCTTCACCTGCTTTTGTGAGTTCTGTAACAGTTTTTCTTCTTCAATGTTCTTCACCTAGAATCTGCCACAATTCCTTGAGAGTTTATTTTCTTACTACTCCGTATGTTTATTCCACTCAGCTCAGTGGGCTGGATCCCCCCTCACTGCTGGCAACAGCCTATTTTAGATACACCTTGTCCTTTGGTTAAGGTGCCCGTGGTAGAAACCCAGATTAAAATATTTGTCTCTTGCTTGTTTAGACTGGACCAGCCTGAGGTTCAGGCACTGACTAACCTGGTGCTTCTCACAGATGATGCCCTTGCTGGCCCCTTCAGGAAACAGCTTTTCTCTGGCATTATTTCCTATCAAGGGATTTTTACTAAACACACACACACAAAATCAGAGCAGGATTCCTTGCTGGCCTCTCTCCCACCCACCAAGCTCTTGACAGCAGCCAGCCTCCAGGCAAGCCACGGATGAACAAAAGCCTGTCACTACAGTAGGATCACAAAGTCCTTGTGCCTGTCTTGTCCACATTCCCAAGGACACGCAGGACAAGAGCAGAGGATGGGCAGGTACCTTCAGGACAAGAAAGCAAAACCACCTAACCTTATAAAATATTAAGAATGTAAGAAAACAGGTAAAAATAATGAGAATATATGTTCCTCTGTGCAAAGGGAAGAGAGCTTGTCCTTGTTCCAAAGTCCTTTACATATAAGGAGATAAAGATGAAAGGGGAAGGTGCCCAGGAAGGAGCAGCATCCTTCCCGCTGTATATGCACAGCACTGTCAAGTGTGCACCATGTGGGTACTCCTGTGTTCAGGCTAATCAATAAAATGTAACATCTTGAAAAATAGCAATTATGCCTGAAGATGTCTTGATCTTCCTCTCTCAGAAGGTCTGCCACCTCACACCCGCCGTCCCACATGCCGTGTTTGGCGCAGCGTTGTACCTTGCAAATGAGAGGTCTTTGGGGGAGAAAATTAAATATGCCTCAAATTCAGAGGAATTAATTAGTTTTCTGTCTACCCCTGTCAAACCAGAACATCCGTTTAATGTCAAGGATCACTAGGGAATTTATCCAAGTTAAATTTAAGGCAATTTGCTAGTAGTTAAAAATTCAGGAAGCTTCAAAACCCTGTGCTCTTGTGTTCCAATTTTACATGCTGGTTTGGGGCTTGTTGGGGGTTTTTTTTCCCCCCTTTTCCTGGTAACAATATTTATCACCACTTAAAATATGTGGAAAAATTTCTTCAGAAAAGAAGTACCCTTCAAATTCTGGTGGAGTCATGGTAAAGATGGTATAAACCACAGAGAAACAGAGAAACAGACCTCAAAGATCAACAATGGATTTCATAAACCACAGAGATTTTTTAGAAACAGACCTCAAAGATCAACAATGGATTTTGGGGGGGGTTTGTTTGTTTGTTGTTTCATTTTTTGTTTTGTTTGGGTTTTGTTTTTTAATCTCAGGTCTTTTTAGTACACTGGAGGATTTCAAAGTTGAGCACCTACTGAAATCTTTTAGGCCTGGGCTGCCATACCAGCACACAGCTACCATGCAGCTTTCCAAGAAGCCAATGAACCATGAAAGCTCATCTGTAGTTTTCCCCAAAATAAATACTAGCAGACCAGGCTTTCTTCGTAAGTCAATTCACAGGCATAACAGTAATTCAAGCCTATGGCTTTTCCAAAAATACCTAAAAAAACTGTCTCTAAACAAACATCACTCGCATGAACCAGCAAAAAGAAGAAAAAAAGAAAAGATTTGATAATCACTTTTATGCAAATTTCTGTCAAGATCCAGACCAGCTTTTCTTTTTCATGTTATCAAAACCCTTGTCTTAACACAAGCATTAATAATTTATACAATCTTTAACCCTAGCTAGAATAAACCTTGTTTCACAAATACAGCATCTGTGAAAACTGTTTATTTTACACTATCAGTACAGTTATTTGAACATGACTATATCACCTGATGACATAGTAAGAGTCTAAATAAACACAAGCTTCACCTTCTGTTGGAAAGATTTTCAAGCCCAGCTATACCCATAAACCCGACCTGAACTCTCCTGGCCAAAATCTTAACACCAGCCAAATTAAGGGGTACAAAGGTGTTGCACCTAAAACTCAGTGCATTATCTGAATTTTGAGAAAACCCTACAGTCAAGAAATGGAGTGCACAGATGAAAGCCTCTACTGTACAGTCCTCCGGGAAATACTGGGGACAAAAATAAACTCCCTTCACTCAGAAGGAAAACAGGAAAAAAAGAAAAAAAAAAAAAAGCACTAGAGGGGTTTTTTGTTGTCAGTAGGTTTGTTAGTTTGTTTACTTTCTGCTCTCACAGAATATAAGCAAACTGAAAATTTAAAATACATAAAATTTAGTCTGTTACATTTTCTGAACATGTTCCTAAACTCAACACTAAGGACAGCAGTTATGAGTACCAAAATATCCCCTGGTGCACTCCTCCATCAGCCACTCCGTGCTCCCTAGAGAAAACATGCCAACTGGAATTTAACCAAAAATGTGTTGTTTCCTCCCCCCTCTCTCTTCAGAGAAAAGTAAAAACAGATTAAGGAAGAACTCAAATTCAGTCCAATGGTTTATTAGACAAAAAACTAACAAAACACACCCCGCTTCTCTGCTTCCCCTGTGTCCTGGCCATGTCTCCACTCCCAAGACATTCCAACATTTTTTAAATTCCTCTGCAAAGGAGCTGTGTAAGGTGAGATTGGGCTCAAAATGCCTCTTTGCACAACAAGACAGGGTATGTATACATGTTTCACTTGCATCCAACTAAAGACAACAGAAATGCATAGGATTCTTCCTATCCATGTGCCCTGTGCTGAAAAGAATGGAAAACAAAACAGCCCAATGTAACCTTAGCAACTGAAGAGGATGGTACTTACACTTGCTCTCCTAAAGGAGAGAAAAAGCAGAAGGGATACTAAGGGGTGAGAACTGCCTGCAAAACAGCTCCTGAGCCTTTCAAGTACAAATCTCCAGAGGCACAGGGATTTCTCCTAAGTGTGGCTGAGGAAGAAGAGCACACAATTCTAGAAGAGTTCCAATTTCTTGATACTGGATACCCCAAAATTGTACGTTCAGCTTTGTTCAAAGTAGATGCAAGTGACAGCTTATGAAACTCAACGGTTGCCAAAAAAGAAACTGTTTTCCCCTATTGTGATTCAGAACACCAATCATTGGTTGCTTGAGTTTGATTCCAAACTCTGAATCAAAAAGAAACAGGCAGATGTATGTACACAGACCAAAACAGACCTTTGGGCCTAAAAGGTTACTCACAACTGACAGCTGAAGAAGACAACAACAGTCTTTTTCCCTTATGACTGGGGACCAAAATGTCTAATTACAGCCCAACCGTGCATGCTCGTCCTTACGGGTAGGAGCCACAGGAAGAAAATAAAAGTTTCATCATTCAGTTTGAGAAATACTACAGAATTGCAGAAAATGCAAGAATTTGGGAGGCAAGCCGTTTTCAGTGAGCTTAGGAAACCCCAAGATAGTTATAATTTTATTATCAGATTTGAGAGGCTCACTCAATTCTCAATGGTTGTAGGGACAAGCACAACACACAACAAAAAAACCCAAACCCCTAACCAGTATATAATTAAAATCTGCCTGATGAGGATTCAGTAAAACTCCTCCAATTTCAAGGCAATGCTGCTCCATCATCAACAGCATTAAAGCAGCATCTCTGTAGCAGTTAGAATCCAGAAGTCCATGAGTCAAGTTGAAAGAGCAGCAGCAGGGCAAGCATTACACCTGTAGCAGCTCTAACACACCTTGAACCACAGGTCCTCAGGGCAGAGAGAGAGAGACTCCAACTCCTCATCAGAGCAGGTTACATTTAGTCAGAAAATACAATACAGATCTACCATGAAAATACACAGATCCAAACACAACTAGGAATTACAAGAAGGCAAATTTCAGAAAAAAAAACAAAAAAGAACAAGAACATGAAAAACACATCTAGTCATTCACGTCCTCAAAGCTTTGTTTCTACAATCCAAACACAAACCTCTCACAACATCTAACTCCAATAAGCAGAACATCAAGTATCAGGAAGCTATCATGAAACACTTCACTCCCTGCTCCAAAACTTTCAACTAGACACTCAGCTTTGGCCTTTGACTTGTCAGACCATCTCCTTGAAATTAATGGGCCAGCAGAAGCTGGACACTACAAAATTGCAACCAAAAGACAGGATTTCTGAAGGCATCCTAGAAAAATCCATTTATTAACCCTCGGAAGGCCTGAGACCACAGGAAGAATTTCAAGAGAAAACCAGGTCTGAGAAGGAAAGCTAAGGGCAAACTGCTCATCTCCACATCCTGGAAGGAGGGCAAGGAGAAATTAGAAATGGAGAAAGTGTAGTTAAAAAAAGGAGGGGGGAAAAACAAAAAGAGTCCAGAAATTTTGCTTTAGTGTTTTTAAATCAGTCAGCAGTGAAGAGATTTTTACTGCTTTTGTTAGAGAAATCCTACAAGCTTTAATATTAAAAATGAAATAAGTAAATCCAAGACTCCTTACCAGTAACAAACTGGGTTCCAGGTCTAGCGTTTCTCCTGCACCAGCTGAGGACATCAACAGCCCTAGGGCAGCACAGGTAGTGCACTGTTCTGTGACCTGCTGGTAGCACTGGTGGGAACTCTTGTAGGAGAAAGACAGAACTACCATAAAAAACAAATCCAGAAGAAGTTATTAGCATTAAACTACAAGATTACTGAACAAGTTTAAGTTCTTTCCCTCCAAACCTACAGTTGTGACACCCCATTTATGACCTAATAAATTCCCCAAAATGTTAAAGTTTATCAATATGTTGAAGGTAATTAATGCATGGTTCCCTTTTTGTAATAATATAAGAGTTACTTCTTAAAGCATGGGGGAAAAAATACCTAATTTTAGATACTAAAACTTCAAACAGATCCTTGAAACAACAGTGTTTCCTGTTTGGTACCTTTTCAAAACATTCTCACTTTAATGACTTTTTGAAGAGACATTTGTGGCCTGAAGGGCACTCATTCGCCTTATTTGACCTATAGAACACTGAGGTTAAAAAGCTACCAATGCAACATCTGGAAAGAAAAAAAAAAGTATCAGGTTTGCAATGGAATATTCAAGAGAATTTCCTCTTGGAAATGGCCAGTTTCTACTGGGTGGTGCCATTGGAGGCCAAGAGACTAAACAATCCCAAGATCTTGAAAATTGTGTGTAAAACAGAGATACTCAAGGAGAGCAAGGCACTTTCACAGATAGTTCTTTGGATAAAAATATTCATGTTCATGATTACAGTGTATAAATTATGGGAACAGTTCATCTACATCTACAGGGTTTTTGCCTGTGAGGGCATATCCACTAGAAATATCACCTTGTACACCTGCTTCTCCTTAAACCCGACTTCCTTTTCTGCAGAATAACACTCACTACACTTGCAACTAAAACCTGGGACTATGCTTGATTCAAAATTTTACACTTTATATGCTGCTGGTCATTACAGCAAAGAATTTGCCACGGATTTCTGATCTGCTACTTCAGACACCTTCAATACCCAGATTAGCTCCCTTAAGGAAAATAAGCTGTAAATCAATACCGTTGATTTCAAGACTGACCTTCTGCAGGAACAGATTGTGAAAGAAAACACCAGAAGACACAAACTGAGAATCTTTTCCAATGCAAACTAATGTCATTACGAATGGTGAAATAACAGATCTAATAAACAAATGAAGTAATAAGGAAAATCCCAACATTCTTATGGCAACAAGCAGAACTGCGAAAATCTTGAAAACAAAGATGACCCAACTGAAGCAAATACCATTGACTTTGTTCTCAATTTCTATTTCAGGCTGCCAAGTCTTGCCGTCCTCTAATTCTGATTGCTTCTCCATAGCAATTGTTTTGGCTGGCTGTTCTTAGGTCTTGTTATTTAGACAGTTAAATAAAATGAAGGGAGGCAGTAAAGGAGCCAGACCAATTCAGCCCTATGGGAAATAACTCTGTTAAAGTAATACATATTTTTCACTTAATCTTAGGACTTTTACAGTTCAGACTCTCATTTGCACCTCTGTCCCAGAGACACAAAATGAGCCAGAACAGACTGGTGAGGATGCTAAACCTCAGGCTGATACTGTTTTGCACTGCTCTGCATTTTTTTTCTTCTTGCTTTGAGCTCTGCACCTGTTCTCCTCTTCTAATGGAACAGATGAAAACCAAGTGACCATGATGAATGGAGGCAGCTCTGCCACCAGGTAGGAGCAGAATAGCCAGAGGTCTTTCTTCAACTTTTGCAGTTGGGTAAATTTCTAAACTGGTCGTTCTTATCAATGTTAAGTGAAATTCTATCAAGAACTCAAGTCCTCATGAAGATC